TTTCTATATATTTTTTAGGTTTTTTTTTTATAAGGTTACTCTGTCAATCCCTGAACTTTTAAAGTTGAATTCATTGGCACATCGATTCGCTGCCTCCTACATGCACCCAGACTGTGGCCAGGGACTGAACCTGCAACCCAGGTATGTGCCCTTAACAAGGAATAGAACCTTCATCCCTTCAGTTCCAGGGCTGATGCTCTAACCACTGAGCAACACTGGCCAGAGCCCAAAGTGACTTTTTATTTTATTTATTTTATTTTTTAATCCTCACTGGAGGACATTTTTCCATTTTTTATTCATATAGAACAGGAGGGAAAGAGAGGAAGAGAGAGAGAGAAACATTGACGTGAAAGGGACACATCGAGTGGTTGCCACCCACACAACCCAACCAGGGCCGGGGACAAACCACAACCGAGGTACATGCCCTTAGCGGGAACTGAACCTGGGTCCCTTCAGACCACAGGCCAATGCTCTAACCGCTGAGCCACACCGGCTAGGGCCAAAGTGACTTTTTAAAAAATCAGGTGCCTATACTTGTATATAAGGATTTTTCGTACCAAGAATTAACCAGTCAGACACAACCTTGTTATGCAATGCGACCAATAAGATACAACTCTATTATATAACCTACATATCTATGGTTCAAAACAGGGCATTCACACCAGACAGCTATTGTGTTGGCTGTTCTCATTTTTTTTTTTTTTAATCCTCACCTGAGGACGTTCTTCCTCAGATTTTTTGTTCAGACAGAGCGGGAGGGAGAGAGAGAGAGAGAGAAACATCGACGTGAAAGGGACACACCGAGTGGCTGCAACCAGCACAACCCAACCAGGGTGGGGGACAAACAGCAACCGAGGTACACGCCCTTAGCGGGAACTGACCCCGGGTCTCTTTGAACCACAGGCCGACACTCTAACCACTAAGCCAAACTGGTCAGGGTGGCTGTTGTCATTTTTAAATTTGATAATCTAAGAGAAAAAAAGTCAGTGCTCCTAACTGAAAAGTCAGGTATTGCATGTTTTAAAAATTCTTGTGGTACACCAGTGTGCCTCTTGTGGCACACTGGTTGAAAATCACTGCCCTAGCAGGATATAAATAGGTGTGGCTGCAGGAGGATAATGGCAGGGTGCCCAAGGGTGGAGAGGGTGCAAATTCCCTGCACTGATCTTTTGTTAACAGACTCCTACCTTGGTTCTACAACCACAAAATGAAGGCATACTAAAAGTGGGTGTTCAGAGATGTCACAAGGCCACATTAAAAACAAGGGTTGCTCATTTGCTTTGTTTTATATCTAAATCAGTTTCTTTGGTATTTTGATTTGAAGTTGCTCATAAACCCATATCTACCTTGTAAAAGGAGATTAACTATAAAATAATTATGATGATAATACTGTGATTCATATATGAAATAGCTGATCAATTAAGTGTTTTATATATTATAAGCAAATTAATAGGCCAAAACTTGATAGTGTTTAATATAACACTTAACAAAAAGTTTGAAAGGGAACTAGTTTTATTTGATGCATGAGTAATAAGTCTAAATAACATTTCTTATTGTACATTGTGAACTTTTCTCCAGCAGTAATACTAAACAGAATTTGTTACAGTTGCCATTGGGAGCCTCCAAACAAGAATGTAAAACAGTGCTCTGGCCCTTAGGCCATTTAAAACCTGTTCTTCTGACCAGAACAACTGAAAGATCTAACACAGAATGCTGAAGTCTATAATTAACATATTTTCCCCTTTCATATCCCATTTTGCCGCTTTAGAATAGCAAATGTAAATGTCTTCTGGCATTAATTTCATATCATTATGTATCATAAAAATGTTACATAAAATAGAAATTAACATTTTAAAGAGTAATTTAGGAAATTCCCTAAAATTGTGAAAAATAGTAGCACTGAGAATCTCCTACAAGTGATATTGAAAAAGTAAAACTTGTCCTCAAAATTAAATCAAGTTTAAAAATATTTATAAAGTACTTATAATACACTCAGTCCCCTGTGTTACAGACTGTGAATTAGGGAAGGCATTCAGTGCATATACAACATTCATTCATATCCGCTAAGAATGAAGAATTTTGCCTGGTATACAGAACTTGGATATAAAATTATAACACATGACAGCAAATAAAATGTATAATATCCACACCAGATTACATTTCAGAGTAGATCAGTCTTCTGTTTTACTTCAGGTTAAGATTAAAATTAGTTTGCATTTTCTGAATTCAAAAGCTGGTGGCCAGGGTAAATATTTCACACATATATTGTATGACAAAGGAAATCAACTTGATATTTAAAAACTAAATGTGCATAATAAGAGCAAATTAATTATGTGTATATAGTATGCTTTGTTAGGATCAAAGAGCATTCCTGCAGGTATAGTAAAATGCCAACATGCTGGGTTCAATCACTTGGTTATTTTCTCACCTTTTACTGAACTGTGGTTATTTGTCTGCCTAGTGCTAGATACTGGTTCACCTACCCAGGGTTGTGTAGTCTCAAGACTGAAAAACACCTGTCTCACTATCTGTAAGGCCATGTTTCCAGGTGGACAGATATTGTAGGAGCTCAATAAATATTTGTTGGATAAATAAATCTTAAATTAAAAGGTCTTCTCAGATGTGCTCATATCAAGTTTATGTTACCCACAAACAAATTCTAAGAGCTATAAACTGAATTTTGTTGGTTTGGGTTTACCTTGGGCTATATTAAGGATTAAATCATCAGAAATGGGAGAGGCAGAAAGAAAAAAGAAATAGTATACCTGATATAAAATTTCTAAAAAGCTCTTAGAACTTTGTTTTCATTTAGATAAAGTTTATTCTAAAGTCATTGAGCTGATACAAGTTGTTAAAAAAAAAGTCCCAAATAAAGTGATAAGAAAAATGTAACCTGTAATCTGGGTCAAAGGCAAAACCACTTAATTTTCCCTTTGGGATGTCTAAAACAATATAAGAGATAAAAAGGAATAAAAAATAATTCAAAGGCTAGTTCTATGTGTGTTATACACATGTGTATGTGTGTATATATATTATATATAAATACATACAGATATATCTTTTACAGTGTTTATTTAGAGGTCTGACTAGATTTGGAGAACCTACTCACTTGCTATTTAATTTTTTTAAAAATTATTATCACAAATTATATCAAGGTTTCATAATGAATATTTGTAGTTGAAGTTTACCTTCACAATGCTTCATCAGCTCTTTATGATTACAAGTTCAGCATTCTGTCAAGAGCTGGAAAACCAAATAACTCTATCATGAGCTTATTTAATTTTAGAAAAAAAACTCTGAAAATAATAAAAAATAACATTGAATGTTAATTGTAACTGAAAAAAATAAAAATACATTTAAAAACAAAAATTTTAAATTTCTAACAGATAATAAAGCAACTTCTTTCATAAAATAATAATTTCAGTAAAACCACAGTGTGTGTGTGTATATATATATATATACTTTTCTTTTTTGTTGTTAATCCTCACCCAAGAATACTTTTCCATTGATTTTTTAAGAGAGAGTGGGAAGGGGAGAGAGAGAGAGAGAGAGAGAGAGAGAGATGTGAGAGAGACACATTGATTGGTTGCCTCTTGCAGGACCCCAGCTAGGGCTGGGGATCAAACCTGCAACCCATGTACATGCCCTTGACCAAAACTGAACCCATGACCCTTCGGTCCACAGGCCAATGCAGGGTTATACATACTTTTCTTCAAAAATTTAAATGAAGGTAGCTTTAAAAAATTAATTGGAAACTGTTTTTAAAAAACTGTCACTATTTGCTAAATATCAAAGAGAACATAGACTGAAAGAAATCAACAAAATCAAACCTTATGTATGGCTGAACAAAACTAAGAGGTTGTAAAAGAGATGGGATATTTTCCCCTCCAAGATAGAGGCTAGTAAAGCAAAGAGTACAGGGTAACCCAATATGAGATAAAATTATGAAAGAAAATTCGGTATAACATAAAAGAATTCATGTAGTGCCTCACATTATATTCAATGGCTTTAAAGGAATAAAACAGCTAGAGGATTCTTAATGTTTAATTTATTCTTTGCCTTGAGTTTTACTGATCAGTGTCACAGACACACACACAAAACTATAAATGTATATTTTTAATTACAGCAGCAATTTTGTATTACTGGCTAAACTTTGGAAAAGAGAAATATATAGAAACAACAAAAAAAAGTCTTCCATAACCTCACTCTTTTAATAACTGTCATAATATTTATATATTCCCTTCCTGACATTTTCATATATATATGTTTATGTAAGATTGCACTCAATAGGGCACATATATTTTTATGCTACCTTGTGTAACTTAGTATTTTTTAGATTTGCTATAGTTTTCTAAATTGTCATTGACAATTGTATAACATTTCACCTAGTGATTACACCATAATTTACTTAATCATTCTCCTGCTGTTGAATATTTAAGTTACTTCCAAATATTGGTTCCTATAACAATGCTTTTATGAGCCCAGCCAGTGTGGCTCAGTGAACTGAGCATCGTCCCATGGACTGAGAGGTCCCAGTCCGTTTTGTGATCCAGGCACATGCCCAGGTTTCGAGCTCCATCCAGTAGGGGGTGTGAAGGAGGCAGCTGATTGATGTTCCTCACAATGATGTTTCTCTCTATCTTCCCCCTTCCTCTCTCTCTAAAAAATCAATAAAAACTTATTTTAAAAAACAAAACAAAAAATAATGCTTTTATGAAAGTTATTGTGTATATGGCTTTTCCTATATCCTCCTCCCAAAAGTGAGGGAGTAGCATCAGAGTATGTGATATACTGCCCAACTGCTTTCTAAACAGCCTGAACTAAATCACAGTGACATCAGAGATATACAAGATTATAAGTTTCTTGAATTCCAGAATAATAGAATTTTAGAATTAAAAAAAACAAAACACAACTATCAACAATCACTAGGAAGGGTATGTTTTCTACTATTACTATATAGGAATAAAGGTTTACAAATTTGTGTTTAATGTGAATCCTCTAGTGGCAGAACATCCTCGGTGGTCTTATAAAATCCAGTCTTTGAAGTTGTACTCTTTGAACTTGGAGACTCAGGATCCTAGCAACCATTCTAAGGTGAGAAGAACCATTCTAAAGTGACACTTGGACTAAGAAGTAAGCCACTTAGTTTTTCTTGACACAAGCACATTGACAATAACACTGAGCTTATTTATGTAATAAAATGTCAAACCAATAAAAGTAATTTTACAGGATGATCCCAAAATATTCTACCACTGGGCAGAATGTGGTAAAAAATTTAACTATAGGCAAGGGTAAAGCCTAGTAAAAATAATTCAAACTAAGTGCACTAACCAATGGGCTCCAGGCTATCAGATTAGATGTAGGAATCATCTTGGAGGAGGGGTTCCAAAACAATATACATCAGAATTCCCTGGAGAGCTTGTTAAAACACATTCCCAAGGTTTCTGATTCAGTAGATCTGGGGTGGGGCCTAAGAATGTGCATTTCTGCCAAGTTTTCAGATGATTCTGATGTTGCTGGTTCAAGGACCACACTTTGAGAACCACTGCCTTAGATTATTTCTGTTGTCATTAAAATATTTGAGTACCTATCTGTGCTATTTGCTTAGAGGTAGAAAGAGGAATAAAACCCCGTCAGTACATGTTTTAAGAAATTGATCATATTTTTGGTAGATATTGTACTACTCTAGTCCTAAAAGTCAACAAGTTGGACCTTGTTGAAAACCAAGTTTAAAAATATATTATATTGCCTTTAAATAAAGCCAGGATGTTTCTAATTAGTTCCAAATGCTTTAGGAAAATATGTAGTAATCCTACATTGGCAAATGCCTGGGTATTTTCTTCACTCTTCTGGATTTTATTGTCATATGCAAATGATTTGTTAAATTACCTTCTTCATTTATAGACACACCATTCATATGTTTTCTCTTTCATAAACTCTATCCACTATATAAAACAAGAGAAAGAACTTACATAAGTACTTTATTATATGTAATAAAAAAACTTGTTTATATAGGTAATTATCAACTGACAGAAGAGAACATTTAGAAAGGTAAGACTCTGAGATTCTGTGCTTTAGATTCAGACTTCAGCAATCCTGTGGAAAAGTGAGTACAAGTAAGCAATATGCTTAGTCATAGGCATGTGGGTGGCCCATACCTAACTGTTAAACACTACCTATCAGCTGATTCACAGAATTAATGAACTTGCTTTTGAGGTGGCTACTAAGCTTCTATTTCTAACAGAGATGTGTTGGCTTGCCGTAACTATTTTTGGCAAAAAAGAAAAGAAAAAATAAATAAAGCATGTATGAAATTTTATGATCTCTAGATCTGCCAAAGCATTAAGCATTATTTATACTTCTTCAGTGTACTTTTTTTCTGATGATATTGAAAGATTCCTCTCATTTCAATTTATTAGAAAGCTACTTTAGAAGTCTAGAAGAATTAATTCATGGAAAGACTAGATAATTTGTCTAACACTGCAGAGAAAATAAAAGATATAGTGAGAGATAATATTCAGATATTTGATTACATTAACCAACAACTAACTCATAACCTTAATTTTGATAACATTCCCTAGGTATACGGATGTTTGGGAATAACAACTTGTTTTCTTTGAAGGAAAAAAAATGGTTCAAGAAAGAATTACAACTTATCTTGATTTTTAAGAAAAAATAAAGGCATGTGTGGGAGAAATACTATATCCTTTTCTATCATGATTTCAAATGGCTATTTTCATATTTTGTTTCATGAAGGCTGGTTTATGAAGAAACTGGAACATGAATCGCTTTAATTTTATTTTTCCTTCTCCTGATCCCCTCTTTCAAACAAGTGTGTTTTCTATCCCTTAAAGGCCTTGTTTTCAGATAGCAAGGTAACTAGGAACTAAACTCTCAAATTTTTGCTGATAGTGATTTAAAGCATTAACCTTGCTAGAAATATTGGCATTTTGAAAGTAGACTCCAAACTTTCAATGACAAAGATAGTTTTAGAGGTGGAATGACAGCCAGTAGGGTAGGATCAAGGTTAAGGGGTTCTTTCCAGCATATCATCAATGTACTCTGGCAGTCTGACAGGTATGTTTACCCATTGCCCTACTATAAAGGGCATTTTATTCCTTAAACATACAGGATAAGAATATCCTCTTTCTATTCACTTTCCCGGAGGCAATTTATAGAGCCGGAGAGAATAACAGTGCTAAGTGGCAACTTTAGAACTTTAAAGCTATTCTAAAGTTCTATGATGTCATCAAGGAGCAGGGTAAATTCTTAGAAACCAACCTTATATTTTAGGTCTATGCACAGTAACTACGCAACCTGCTGATTGTGGGAGTTGAGCATACAGAAATCTCTTACACTACTACTCAGGGTATTTCCCTGTTTTTCTACCTCCCTCATATCTATTGTCTACTTATCTATGGTAAACTGTGAAGGACTTCTCACCCCAAGTTTATACTAATCTGAACTCTTCTCAGAAGGTCAGAAAATTTGTCTCAATAAGTCTTAACCACATATAATAATTCTCTTGAGGAGTCCACAAATTTTTTTTTTTAAATCAGTTAAAACTCGCAATGACTTTATCTTCTGAAATAAATGCTGCGAGATAAAAATGTTTCCTAAACAGAGACTGAATCCAATTTAACTAAACCATTATGTGATCTAGTTTAAATCCTGACTGCAAGGTTTTAAATCTCTATTTATGTTGCATGAATTGATGGCTTAATTTCTTTCCTTTATGTCTGAGAAATCACAGTAGGGAAAGGAAACTCATTGTCCCCAAAAAGATTTTCTAGTTGAAAATGGCCTGGTCACTGGAATAGAAGGTAAAGCAATGACTCTGAGAAAGCCCAAACTATACTATTAAGAGAGTAGAAGTTAATGCCACTCCCTACTTCTCACCCCCAAAGGGGAAGCTACAGGAAAATGGAACACTTACCTGCTGGCACTGGCTTAAGCCTTTCTTTGCCCTTTGCTTCCCCTTTCGTTTAGCTATGTCCCTACTTGGGCTTTATAGTTCTATATTCTAGGAACACAGTGGGGTGCAGGCCTGAAAGAAAGTCTCTTACTTTCTTGCACAGGGGACACTTCAAAATAAAATGTATTACTTAACAATTCATAAGAAGAATTTAAAATTTATTATTTAGATGATGCACAGTTAATTATATGCTTTTCCAATTATTCCCTACTAGTAAACTGATGGGTTATTAGGATGTATTTTCACTTTTCAAGCCATTAAAAGCTTATTTTTTGGTTATAGCTTGTTAGAAAGAGACCCAGTTTTTACGATAAGCTCAAGTCATTTAGTTTTTTAGGCTGTGACATTATATTGTCTTTTGATCCAAAGACTCATGGCCCTCATTATACAACAAACTTGCTCCTGGGTAACATAAAATAAATTCTCACAGGGTGCATCATAAATATATGCAAAGAATAGTACTTTTTTTTTTTAAAAGCACAAAATGCGCCTTTGTGGACGCATTAGACATACAATGATGACACATGAGGATCCACATTGTCTACTACAGGACTCACAAAGATAATATCAATAAAACAAAAATAAGTATTAGGCTGATTTTTATCCAAAGTAATCAGGGAATGATGACAATTTTAAACTGAAGAATGATGAAATATTTCCAGAAACATTTTATAAATTGATCACCTCACAGCAAACATTATCTTCAGTTCATTCTTAACAATAATCTCAAAATCAGTACTAGGATGAACTATTAACATTTGTAAAAGAGTTATTTGGCTATAACACAGATAACCATAAATGTTCTCTTTAAAATATCAGCTCAATTAAATTTAGGGCCAAGGTCATGTCACTTACTATACACAAGCTTGCTGATAAAGTCTTAAATTCACATAAAAAAAAAAAGCTTGGTAAAATAACTGCAATGCTTTTCCCGTTTCACAGATGAGAAAATGGGGAGTTAGAAAGGATAAGTGACTTGCCCCGCTATAATAATTGAAACGGTTAAAAAATATAAACATTCATATGTTCACATTCATATTCTGAATTAAACGCTCACTATTAAAATATTGATTTGCATTGATTGCTGTAGAAAATAAGATTATATAAACCTGTTTTTAAAATAAAAAATAATTTAAGTATATACTATTATTGGTGATAGTTTCTGTCTTAATATCTGCAGAAATTTTCCCCAAGACATGGCCTATTGCATCGGTGCTGATATCCTTTCAAGAACCTACTTAAGTATTTTAGGTAAATAAAAACTAAAATCTGATGTTTTTATAAAATAAGCTTTAAAACATGTTATATAAATCCCCCAAATCTACTTGTGTATTGTGATAAAATACAAATAGTCACTAAGAAAACCTAGGAAGATTACAAATAATCTTCAACTTAACATTTTTTATATAGAATGCTATGAAACAAACTAAAATATGATATGCTGGGTCTATCTATGCTTGCAACATGGTTATTCACAGATCTTATTTTATTTTTGTGGAGTCAAATTAGATCAGTTTTGAAGGAACTTCGTAAGCATTTTAAATTGCTGCCCGTTTTATGGCTTTTTGGTTTTAAGAGGGAGAAAAGGAACAGCTCAGGAGATCAACTACCCTAATGTGAAGATCTATAATCTATTAGGCGAAAAAAAGAGAGAGAGAGAAAAGCAAGTTAGAAATTCAGATTAAAAAAATTTTAAGTCAGGGGGCATATTTTTACACTTACAGACTGGCGACCTAAGTTTTTTTGTTTTTGTTTTTTATTAGTGATTTTTAAAAAAATCCTCTACAACTATTATCTATTTAGTGAAATCCTACAAGACTAAAAACATGTTCCAGTACATTCGCCACAACTTATGACATATTATATTTCCAAATTCAAATGACAATGAATTCAGCAGAAGAACACCCATAAATTAGAATGACTAATATTTTCTGTCCTATCCATTGGGTATATGTAGATCTTATAAAAGAAGTGAAAGTATAGGCCAGGATATAGAAAACATTTGTAAAGTATTATTTCAACATTTTTTTCCTACTTCACAGAAGTCTCCTGTTATTAACAACCATTTCACAATTTGAAAACTAAGTGAAATGTATTATTAACACTTGTATATGTTTTCACAGCAGTGCCTTTCACACCACTTTCACACGCATAATTATCTTGATAATTAAAGTTAGCGGCAAATAGCCCTATTTTCAGAGAATTACAGAAGAGAGATAAGTATTTGTTTATAGTCATATTACTTAGTAATTAAAAGCAATTAACCATGATCAGTAATGCATTTCCAATGCATATTCCTAAAGTCACATATTTTCTCCTGTATAAATTTTAATACATAGGGAAAAATATAATTTTAATGTTACAGGGATTTTGAAATTATACTGTGATTTTAAAAAGTATCATTTATTAGTTTTTAAATGTAATTTTGAAATATACAAAGAAATGAACATTAAGAAAACTAGTCTCTTCAAAGAAAATAGTGTATCTAATTATTAAAAATATCAATCACAGTTTTAATTTTAAAAAGAAAGTATAGCCCTGGCTGGGTAGCTCAGGTGGTTAGAACATCATACTGATACATCAAGGTTGTAGGTTCGATCCCCAGTCAGGCACATACAAGAAGCAACCAATGAATGCATAAATAAGAGGAACAACAAATGGATGTTTTTTTTTCTTCTCTCTCAAGTCAATTTAAAAAAAGATATTTTAAAAAGAAATTATATTGTTTTAAATTTAAAAGAATGAAAAATACAGTGCCCAACAAACTTACCCTGGAATTCTTCAAATGTTTATACTTACTTCACTGATGCCATGCTTTTTATAGCAGTTATTGTAAAAGCTAGAAACTAACTTAAATATGAAAAAGTTTTTATTTAAAAAATTAAATCACAAGATGTTTTTCTTCTTTCAGTGAGTTGCAAAAGATTGAGTAGTCACCAGTTGATTCTAAGATCTTTTCATTTAAGATGTAATTATCAGCAAGTGAAATATCAAATATCTAATTTAAATAAAGGAGAAAAATTATGTGAAGTACATAGTTTAAATTTTTTGTATATTAAATAATACTATGAAATGTATTAACTTCAGAGTGAATCTGACTGAAAGTAGACAACACAAAAACTGCTTTAAAACTTGGAACAGTATCTTTTGAAGTATCATTCCAAGTGCTAATTGGTAGCATCTAGGAGTCTTTTCTATAAAACTTTAATAAGAGTGGAAGGTATTCCCTTAAGAGAAAAGCCACAGTGAATGTCTATGTCAGTTTCTACCCTAGAAGGGTTTTCTAAATCATTTAGCACCACCAGGTTGTTTCTGCGATTGATCACTTGGCTATAGACAGGAAAAGTACCACAGAACATCTGAAAGCTGTCGAAGATCTGCCCAGGTCTTTTAAAAGGTTAAGTTTATCATTGTTCTCTCAATAACTCCAATTACGATTTGTTTCATGAATGATAAAAGCACTTGACATAAAACAATGAACTTCAAAATCAAGTTTCTCCAGCAATAGGTTTCACACAACTTAGTTCATCATCTTGCCTGGTTTTCTTTTCAGATAATTCACACAAATTAATTTTATATTTTGTCCCTAAACTTAAAGAAAAGAAAAATTTTAGCTTCTTCATGACAGACTACTATTTTTGGCCTTTATTCTTCTGAAATAATTGACACTATTTTCCCAACTATTACCCTCAGACTCAAGTGAATTAGATTTCTACGGTAAAACAAGAGCAGAGCAAAACAATGATATAATATGATCACCATCATCGTCATCTTGCAAATTTTGGACACATCAACAACCCATTTCAACAAAATGCAATTACAGTGAGCCGACTCACCTAAGCACTGGGAGTTAACAAGAAGGATTTAGAAATGCTGCCTTCTGATTCACCAGCAGAGGTAAAGGCCCCTTCTTTACCTAACTGACCTTATATAAAAGCAGCAGATAGGTTACTCCCAGTTTCTGCCTCCTTACCTTAGGCTCCTCCCCAAATACCAAGGCATAAAGTACCACGACTACACACCCACCTTGCACCCCCTACACGGAGGGACTATGATTTCTGTTAAGCACCCTCCCTCCACCTACCTCGGTCAGCCTACGGAGAGCTTGTGGGCACCCGTGGGAGCCCACAGCACTCTAACGTTCCCTGTCCAAACACGGGGTGTGGGAGGGGGCCGCACTCTCCATCCCCGACGACCCTGGGGACTCCAGCCCACACGCCCGGACCCCCACTCGGCTCAGGGCTAGCAGGGTGCTTAAGGGCCACGGGGCTGGGTGACCCCAAGGACGCCCCTCGCTGAACTGTTTCTGCGACCCCCCCACGGAGAATCGCCGTCTGGGTTCCGCGGACCCAGCAGGAGGACTCCGCCGCCGCGGGACCGCCATGCACCGGATCCCGCGTTTCTGTCCCCAACTTTTCCTCGGGCCGCTGCCGGACGCCTGCGCGCCTCGGCGGGGCCTCAGAGGGGCCCCGCTCTCTCGGACCCCTACCCGGGGCAGCGGGAGACGCAGGGAATCCAGTCTCCCGGGCGGGACTGCCCGCCGCTCGCTGGCGCGCCTCGCGTGCAGCCCGTGCCCTCCTCCGCCGGGGTTGCGGTTCTCGGGGACTTCTCAGGGCGCGACGCTCAGCCCGGGACGTGTCAGCTCCCGCCCCCGCGGACCACCACCCCTTAACCAGAGACCTCCTTACCAGCGACCCCGCCGTCAGTCCCGGTCCCCTCGGCCCGGGTGTCCTCAGCCCCCGCCAGCCCTCAGCCCCGACCCTCCTGGGTCCCGGACCCCTCACGCACCTCCTCCCTCCATGCCCCCTCGCCCCGCGGCCGGGTGGCCGGGAGCGCCGCGGGGCACCTGGACTCTGACCTGCGGCGGCGGTGGCGTGGCGCCCCGCTCGGGTGTCCGGAAGGCTGACCGAGCGCCCCAGGCGGCTGCTCCGCGCGGGCTCCGGCTCCGGCTCCGGCTCCGAGGGCGGTCGGCCCCGCCTGCCCACGGCCGAGCCGGGCCGGAGGGGGTGGCGGCGCGGGGCGGCGGACGCGCGGGCGGACAGTGGGGCCCTCCGCCGCTCCGGCTGTCTTTTCCGAGCGCCTACTCTGTGCGGGGCTGGGTCGGTTCCTTCCTCACAACCACCGCTGGGAGGCGGCCCGGAATGGTCCCATTTCACAGAGCAGGGCCCGAGCGAAGCTCAGAGATGCCCTGGGTCACGTCAGGGTAGAGCCGGGTGCGGGGTTCCGGAGCCCGTCCTCCCTCAGGCCAGCGTGTCGCCCTTCTCGCAGGGGTCTGCGAGACAGCCCCGCCCCGCCCTTCTGCGCAGCCCCACTCCTGACAAAAAGATACTGAACCCTACGGCCACCTGTGGCTGTTTTGTAACCCTGATACCCCGTGGGGCGGCACACTTGCAGCGTTGCCCCTTTTCCGTCTGTCATTCACGCAGGTGATCGGCCACGTACAGGGACAGAGTTTTAGTTTTAATCATTGAAAGCATGTCTTAAACTCATTAACAGAATGTCTTTAATCCTTTGAGAGTGGTTCCTGCGCGGAGGGACCGGGCACGTGGGCTGGGGGTGGGGCGTGGGGTGTTGAGAAATCGCTCTGGGGCCGGCTGCCCCGTGCACGTGCGGGGTGGATGGTGGGCCGCTGCTTGTCCTGCCGCTGTCTGCACCGGGCCCCGTGCAAAGCGGCTTGACGGACGCCTCTGGTCTACCCGACCTGAGGCCTGCCTTTCTTTCCCTTCTTCTAACCTCGGTTACTGAACGTCCTGTTCCAGGCCTGGGCCTCCTTGGGGAGGTAAAGATGAGTCAAGTCCTTGATTTCAAGAAGCGTATCAATCACTTGCCCAAGATTCCTTTAACATCTTAATTTGTTGGAGATGCCTAGTTCTTTTCCCTCTAGTGCAGACGGCCCTCGTATGTAGTTTGAAGTACATTTTTGTGAGCCTAAGTATCACTTCAGCGAAGATTCAGAACTGAAATCAGTAAATTCATGTCTTTCCACTCGTCCCCTAAAACATGAGGTTAAGAGCCATAGCTCTGTAGGGACTTCAGAGACCATTTTCTTGACCACTGAAAAGCCCTGTTTCTTTGCCTGCCATTTAGGCAGTCAGGTGGGCATGGCCCAACATCCTACTCAGGCATAGAAGTGCTGCGGACGTACATACTACTTATCGATACTTCCGGAGTTCCAATCTGCTTTATTTTTAGAACAGCTTTATTGAGATATAATTGACAAAATCTAAATACTATACAT